TATAATAGTATTGGAGTTTTGGATTTAAACTAGCTCGTTTATTATAAGCCCTTAAATAAACGGAAACATATGTTTGAATACCTTAAAAAAATATATTTTATTATTTTCTTGAAGAAATTATCCGGTCTTGGATTTTTAGTCCGGTTCAATATTATAAACTATTGAAAATGCAGCATACTAAGGCTTTAATATGGTTCCAAATATATTTTATTATTTGTTATGAAAGTTTATACTGAAACAATTATACGCTAGAGCTTAAATTGGTAAAAAAGATACGTCTTTGCAGTTCTGTTTTTCAAATCTGTCTAGAAGACATTATATTCTGTTGTAAGCAGTATATTTTCATTTAGTTAAATTAAATCAAAGCTTGCCTGTGTCTCAAGGGCCAAAAAGTCACAGAACTACATTTTGGCGAATGACTCAACAATTTTTAGGCAATAATGTTTTATTGATATTATCTAAGCGAGCAGAAAACCTCAAACGACTTGCAAATGCACTTTAAAACAATGGAAATTGGAAAAAATATAATTTGAATAAATGCTAAAGTGTGAAAAATAGAATTAAAAAATGCTGAAAATTAAAAAAAAAATGTAAAAGGTATATTTGTTGTTGTACAAATATTTAGGTAATTATAACCAGATACGTCCAATTATTTATGTATTTTTTTTAAATGTTAATATTTAAATATTGAAAAAATATTTTCATTTTCAAAGTAAATATTGAATTATTATTTTTCTTATATTTTCTTTATGAAATGCCAATCCTTAATACTGCTAGTCGGGTTTTTTTGCGAATCTCTTTGAGCCAAAATTATTAATATTTTATTCATATTGAACCGAACTTAAAATAGAATTTGTTAACTTAAGCATAGCCACAGCTAAAACTGAAGCGAAGCATGGTTCTAAATAATATTTTGCTTGAATAATTGCAAATATAATTAAAGAATTTTCTTTTCACACCACGTGAATATTAAAGTAAAATATAAAAATCAATGGAATTGTTTTACTGAAAATTCTAAAAAAAAAAAGAACATGAGAATTCGAACCAGCTCACGAATCAAAGTTTGACGCGCGGCGTTGATTTAAAATGTGAATTGAACCAGCGACTTTTGGTTTGTTGGTGTTGCAGCCCTGTTGCTTCTTAATGGACTTTCTAAAAGGTTAAACTTAATTGGACTATAAAAACATGGCTTAATGGCGTGAAGCGCTCAAAGTCGTTCAGCATCTGCGGCAGATTAGCTAATCATGCGTCAAATTTGGCTGCAAATTTGGCTGCTCCTCACGCTGCAGCTCTTGTCCTTGCGCACTATAAGGCCAGAGGAGCGCATCCTGAATCGTTCCGCTCAAGAGATAGCGCGTGTGGGCATAAAGCGTGTGGCATTCGATGCCAATTCCATTGGCAATGGCCGCATGTATTACACAAACCTGGACAGATTGCGAAACGTGGTGTTGGCGCTGCGCAACGCATCCCTGAACGCGGCGCTGCAGCGCATGGACCAGCTGCTGGCCAGCAACAGGGCCGAGGGCAAGCTGCAGCAGCCGGTGCCCGCGGATCAGCCATTTCCGTGCAACCTGACCCAGGCACGATCCGGGCAGCCGCCCAGCCACATCTGGGAGCTGCGACCCGGCGACATAGACATAACGGCCGCCTTTGGGGATTCGGTAATCGCGGGCAATGGTCTGCTCTCGCAGAGATACATGGACGTTTTCTCCGAATTTCGGGGCTATAGCTTTTTGGGCGGCGGGCTGGGCAACTGGCGCACAGCGCTCACCTTGCCCAACCTGCTGAAGCTGTACAATCCGCAGCTGTACGGCTTTGCCCGGACGCACGGCCTGGTGGCGGACCGGGAGAAGTCCGTGTTCAACATAGCCGAGCCCATGCTGACCATGCGCGACTTGCCGTACCAGGCGCATGTGCTCATCGAGCGGCTGCGGAGCGATCCGCGTGTTAATATGCAGCAGCACTGGAAGCTGCTCAACATCCAGGTGGGCATGAACGACATGTGCTTCGAGCTGTGCTCCTGGACCGACACCGAGCAGTATCTGCGCTTGCAGCGACAGCACGCATATCGCGCGTTCAGCATGCTGCGCGATCATGTGCCCCGCCTGATGATCAACTGGATTCTGTTGCCGGACTTGGACGATTTGCTGCGTACGCTGCGCGGCTTTCCCGCGCAGTGTAATTTGCGTGTGATCTGCTCGTGTCTGACGGGCAATTATCGTGCACACTATCCGGACGCAGTGCGTCGCTTGCAGCGCATGCAATGGGAGCTGGCGGAATTGCCCGAATTTCGGCGCAACGACTTTGTGATTGTGCCGCACCAGGTGCTGGCCAATATGAGCGGCATTGTGTATACGCAGGGTGTGCTGAGCACGCGCTACTTCACACACGATTGCATGCACTTCAGCCAGCGCATGCATGCGATTATGGCCGGTGCGCTGTGGAACAGCATGTTGCAGCCATTGAATGTCACGGCGGCACGGGCCTGGCGACGACCCTTGCAAAACATGGTCTGCCCCAGCGCCGAGCGGCCGTTTCTGCGCATCAGCTAGGCGGAAGTCTAGAGAAGAGACAAAATAAATAAATAAAATTGGCAGCACGCCCCGTTTCCAGCCTCTCGGGGCAGCCTTGGCGGCGTCAGCTTTATCCATGACACACCCTCATGAATCTTTATTTTTAGAGCTCGGTTCGCTTTTAATTTATTGTAATCAATTTTTTTTTATTTCCATAATGTGTATCTTGCTGTGTGGGCATTAACCGATATCAAGTACGATTTAAATACAGCTAAGGCTAGACTTTTTGCACCACTTAGGCCCCAAGACTTCAGTTCCTTTGACAAATATATCTAGACAAACAATTAGCTATTAACATTTCAAGTGGCCGAAAACAACTGAAACTACAAACAGCACGAGTTAGCAATGCTCGACTTGAAGATACCCTAAACCTAGCGCAGCGCCTCTCTATAAGATATTCCCTCTTAAATAACTCGGGTGTTTACAGTCAGATTTTTGTTAAATTTACAGTGCTTAAGCAAGGCACTCAAATGTGCCTATATACCAAAGTACAATGTGCTATCTTTTAATTTTTGAAAAAATATAGAGATGTTAAAAAATTTAAGGAAAATAATTTTTTTTTTCCTAATCTGTCAACACATACAAATTTTGATGCATCTAGCTTAAATAGTCTTCGAGTTATATTAAAGGAAAAAAACAAAATCTGGAAATTTGCCTTAAAACAATATACCCTCTCAACACATTTGCCTTGTGTACAGGGTATAGAAAAAACAACTGAAAAATGTTAGTTGAGCTTAATGTGCAAATATTTGTAGTAGATCTTTCTGTAGCTGAGCTTTGACTTCAAATCGTGCATAACAATTGGGATCTAAGCTAAGAAAAAAGCCGGCCCAGGGGCGTAGAGACGAGAGGGAGCTCTCACAAGTTGCCCCCACGCTTCATATGTATATCTTAAATTGTAAACTCAAAACTTACCGCGAGCAAAGCCGGGGAATACTTGCAAAATATAAATATTTGTTTTTGCTTTTAATTTCGTGCCTGAATACTTTGTAATATTGGTTTGACATATGACCCTGCCGACAGCAATAAAGAGCTGAAAATTGCCTTACTAATATTTAATAATTACTTTGCTATTTGAACGCTTGTTTTTTTGGCTATAAATTGCCAATTAGTCCTGGCCCATTTAAACATGCACTTTGCCATGAAAAAAGGCAACACAAACAAATTGAGTCACAGATCTGATGATAAACAAATATGAAATAATGCATTCAAATTGCCGCAAAACTTTTACTCAAAACAAAGTGGTTGACTTCAAACCCAACAAAAATGCTCGATTCAAGGTTCAAACCAATGAATCGCTTTATGATTCGGTTAAGTTTTCATCAAGAATGAGTCCTGGTTCGAGCTCGAACCTTATTTCCCAAAAGTTTGTTACTTTCACAAAAGAAATATTCAATGTTGCATTAATTAATTTAAATATTATTATAATTATTATTAATTATTGTTTTTATTTATTATTGTTATAATAATAATAATAATAGTAATAATTATTATTGTTATTTTTTTTATCAGTATTATAATTTGAAATGTTTTATTATTATTATGTTTATTGTTCTTTATTTTACTATTATTATTTATATTATTATTATTTTTATTTTTATTAATATTATTATTTTTATTTTTTTATTATAATTATCATTATTTTATTATTATTAGTATATTATATTAGTATCACATTATTGTTATTGTAATTATTATAATTATTATTATTATAAATATGCGGTGCTTATAAATGGAAATAATCATTTTGAACTAAACCGTTGTCTTTTAAAAATATGGTTCAATTTAGTCAGTTCTTATTTACGGCTCGGTTCATAATATATAAAAGCTGTCAATTAGTTTACAAAGTATTTGCAGACAGTTGATATTATTAAACTTTATCCAAGAATATAACTGAGATCCCTTTTATTATCCAGCTCTTAGCGAAGGCCTACGCCCCTGTCTCATGGGCCGCCGCTCTGTAGCTCCAATTTATTTATAAGCACACATTTATTTTGTTTTTCATAATATATAAAAATCATATAATTGTTGTCTGTCATGTTGTGTGGTAGCATCAATGTTGTTAGCGGTCGCCTCAAGGTAATTATTTTGTTTTCGGGTTTGCTGTTAAGATACATACATATTTTTTTGTTCGACAATATCTTTGAACCCAACGCACTTGTGCTCTGAGCCCCAGCTCTGGGGCACAGTTGCGTCTGTCCCATTTGCTCGTTTGTTGTTGTTGTCACTTTTATGGTAGCTAATGTCTCGGTCAACGCATTCAAGTCAAGTTCTGTAGCTTAGTGCCGGCTCTCTTGTTGTTGTTGTTGTCTGTTGGCTGTTGCTTTTAATGGAAGGAACGAATGCTTGAGTACTCGTTGCGAGCTCAAACAATACGACTTTATATTGTTTGAGTTTCCATTCATAGCAACATTTAAGCGGCCGACGCATTTGTTATACGAGTGAGAACGCGTCAAGAAGTCGTTGTGCGCGGCTGCTAATCACAGGACTACAAAGGACTTGCAATATATTGCTCGGTATAACTAAAAGTGATAAGAATTCGCAGGCGAATTAATAGACCAAAAAAAAAAGATACGTTCCATAAGCAATCCACACGCGCTAAATCAGAATTTAATCCACTTTGAGTACACATGGGAAAAGTTATCGAAATCGAGTCGCTGAAACCAACAAAATATGATCCACATGCGCTATAAATGTAACTTATGTAAGAAACTAACGAAAAAAATCCAATAAACCAAAAGCACGTTCCACATACAATCCACCGGCGCAATTCCATTAAATTCCAAATAGAATCCACATACAAAAAACTGTTGAGAGCGACTTTCCATCCGGTGGTATTCACAAATAACGTGCAAAAGACAAATTATCACGTTTCAAATACAATCCACAATTGTGAAATTCAAACGAGTTACGTTCCACTTAGAATCTTCATTCGAAAATTTGACAAAAACGAAGTTCTACACGCGCTCAAATGTATGCTAGTTGCAAATAGAAAACAGCGTCCAAATACTAACGTTCCACATAGCATCCACATGAAAAATTTTGACGAAAACAAACTGCTGAAGCAAAAACCATACTTTCCACAAGAATAACAGATATTGGTGAACAAACCCCAGCCATATATTACATTCCACACAGCATCCACATGCGTTCCACATTGCGAAATTTGTGCTCCAGCTTAATTGTGCTCTTTGTGTTACTTTTCATCGATTCCACGGATCCGCAAATCCTGCGCACACGCCGCCAGAATCGCTCCCATCAGCTGTTGGACAGCATTGGGATTCAGGCCAAACACTTCAATCCCTTGCGTCCGGTTAGCAATGCTCTGCCGGAGTACACGGACATAGATCGGAATTATCGCCATCTGCTGCTCACCACACGCAGCACAGCGCTCAACTGGGCGCTGCGGGATATCGAGGCGCTTTACCGGCGCAGTCGGCACGAGGGCAAATGGCAACCTCTGATACCCAGCAATGTGCCGTTTCCCTGTCCGCTGAATAATACACGTTCCCGCACGCCGCCCACATCCGTGGAGCGTTTGCGACCCGGCGACATAGACATCGTGGCTGCGCTGGGCGATTCCCTGTCCGCTGGCAATGGCATTATGTCCTACACGGCGCTCGACCTGATCAACGAGTTCCGTGGCCTGGGCTTTTCGGGCGGCGGCCTGGGCAATTGGCGCAACACGCTGACGCTGCCAAACATACTGAAGGTGTTCAATCCGCAGCTCTATGGCTATGCCACGGGCCACGGCCTGGTTGTGAATCATGGCACCTCGCGCCTGAGCATTGCCGAGCCGATGATCATGTCGCACGATCTGCTCTACCAGGCACGCGTCCTGATCGATCTGCTGCAGCGTGATCCCCATGTGGACATGCTGCGGCACTGGAAGCTGCTCACCGTCTTCGTGGGCAGCAACGACATCTGCTCCGACATGTGCCACTGGACGGATCAGCGCGAGCTGCTCGAGCGGCATGCGCGCGATCTGCGTTTGGCTTTCCGACTCCTCCGCGACAATGTGCCCAGGCTGCTCGTCAATTTGATTGCGGTGCCCAACATCTTGCTGACGATGAGCCAGCTGAAGAGCGTGCCGCTGCAGTGCTATCTGGTGCATCGCATTGGCTGCCATTGCCTGATGAGCGATCGCCTGACACAGGCCCAGCTGCAGCAGCGCCACGACACGATTTTGCGCTGGCAGCAGCTGGACCTGGAGGTGGCACGTCTTCCCGAATTCCAGCGCAAGGATTTCGCCATCATTGGCCATCCCATGATCACAAACATGACCGCGCCCACGCTGCCCAATGGCAACACGGACTGGCGCGTCTTCTCCCACGACTGCTTCCACTTTAGCCAGCGCACGCATGCGATTGCCTCCAACATGCTCTGGAACAGCATGCTCCTGCCAGACGACCATAAACCGCGGCCCAATCAGCTGCCGGAGCTCTTCGAGCGCTTCATGTGCCCCAGCAGAGAGCAGCCGTACCTTGTGGTGCGGCCCAGCTGAGAGATCTGGCCACAGGCTCAACCTACTCAAGTACCTTTGACCCTGGGTGCATACAGCTGTCTTGTGATTTTTTAAAATTTAAAATAATAATATTTTGCAAACGCTAGTCTAACGGAAGCTCAATATTTCATTCGTCACAGAACCTGATTTATTTTCCTAAAGCCTTAAAATAGGTGATTGTTAAATAAATACACTACATTGTTAACTAGAAGATAAATAATTAAAAGGAATTCAATATTGGCTTTTGTTTTTTTAAATATCTGCTAAGAAAGTATTAAAATATATTTTTCATTATTATATTTGTAGTTTAGAATTTGTTTAAATAAGTAAAAATGGTTAACAGCAACTGTCAAATTTAACATGCATGACAAAAGTGGCAAAGCATTCAGTTGTCTGGATCTCATTGTTTCTCTCTGACTTACCTATATAGGTCAATGAACTTTTTAATAAATGAATACACGCAAATACAATCGAATTAGGTAAAATTATTCAACAGCTTATTAGATTGCAAGTCTAAAAGTAGATGCATTCAATCAAAACCCAACTAGCAAAAGTGCTCTAGACGGAAGTGGCCGACTAGGAGATACTCTGAACCCAGCGCCGAGCTGCCTTTACTAACATTCTAGCCTCTTTAATATACAATCTTTGACCGACACGCTACGCACTCGCTTTACACTTTGTTTTAACTATTTAATAGTTAAAGGATTAACTAGCCAAATCAAGAAAGGAGAAAGATAATTGATCTGCATATGCTACATGTCAAATTTGGTGATTCTAGCTCTTAAGAGTTAACTTTGCTCAAAAAAATAGGATTTCCATTTCGATTTTTATCGATTCCTTAGAAATGGGGCAAGTTATCGATTGTCGGAAACAAACTCGTACTGCGCGGGCAATAGGAGGACCTACGTCCAAAATTCCTCTGTCCAATCTTTATGAAACTTTAAGTTATTATGAGTACGATATATGAACTTGTTTACATCGAATTTGAAGTGTTGAACTCTTGTAATTTTTTTAGTGGTAGTCGAAACATCGTTTATTTAAGTATTGGTTACCTTTATTCATATTATTTAAGCGTATGTTCAATATTTGTTCTCTTGTATAAAGCGTCATCATATTTTTTATTATTCATCATTATATTTGTTCCCCTCATAGTGTGTATTTTATACACACTACCATGTTTAATATTTTTTTTAATTTTATATAACATTTTTTACTCCTATAAAAAATATTTTTTATCTTTATTCATATTAATTAAAAATATGTTAAATATTTTTTTCTTTTATATAATTTGTTCCACTTTTATAAAGTATTTTATTTATTCTGACAATTTTTCTAATCGTATGCTTAATCAATAAATTGTTATTCATAATTATATATGCAGCAGCAATAATTAAGTGAAGCTAGAAAAATTCTAGTGTCGTGGTTTTTTTTGGGATCGAATTGGAGGGCATGGCTTATACCTTAAACCTGGGCCTGCCAACATTCCATTGTTGCCGTGCTTATCCACTTTTTTTTGGCTCTACGCTGCTTATCTTCTTCCTCTTCTTCTTTTGCCTACTCCATTTCAATTAAAATATTATGCAATTTAAAATGAATATGCGTGTGTGTGTGTATATATTTTTAATTAATTAAAAAACACTAAAAAACAATACTCAACGTCGCAGCATAAAAATTCATTAAAAATACTTTATGCTTATATGGCAGAAAGTATTTTTTCCTGCTTGTTGCGGAACAAACCTCAAACCACCCGTTTTCCACCCGTACGCGTGACAACGCGCCGCCTGCTTATTACGCCTGGACTCGCCTACCAGCCTCTCAGCCCCCCCCATCCCCAAATCCTGCCCCGAACTCCGCTTAACCCCGACGCCCAGCTCATGCCATGAAACAAAAAAAAAGATATACATATATTTAAAACAAAGCGAGCATTTTGCATATGCAGCGCAGCCACCTGCAAACCGGACAGTTGCCAATGGGCGGCGACCAACCCCCAGGACTACACACATATATGGGGGAAAAAAATACATACACGCCCACTGCAAGCCAGGGCGATGGCAGGGGGGGAGGGGGTGTGCGGGTTGGCGGTATGTTGGCAAAAAAAAGCAAACCAAAATAAAAAATCTGAAAAAATTTGTGGCCGCGGCAACAGCAGCAGCAGCAGCTGAGAGCTGGCAAGGGGGCTGGAAAAATTATATTAAAAATGCACTGTCCGAATAAAGGGCGTTACACACACAACACACACACGCACACACACACACACACACTCGCTGACAAGCTTTTAAACCCTCGCCCTCCAAAAGAATGTATAAAAAATAAACTGAAATAAATGTAAAAAAAAAACACGTAATAATAAAGTTGAAGCGCTTGGCCAGGGTCTGGGCGGACCATGTCGTTGATATATACTCTCTTACACCTCGATATACACACATTTATATATATATCTATATATATTACATATTTGAGCACAACAGCCAAAGTGTCCCATTGCAAAATATGCAATTTCTGGGACCAAAATAAATAAACCAAATAAACGAAATGGAATTAACCAAACGGCCAAAAAGCATTCTCATCAGCCAAACGAGATGCAAAAATACAAAAAAAAAATATATATATATAATAGAAAAGGAAAGGAAATCTACCCCGAATGATAAATAAAATTAAAAATCTGAAGCCTTGATTAACCCAAACGAGCATTAGGCCAGCCAAAAGTGGTCACCAAGGCCTCACACACACCCGAGTTGGACAAAAAGTCCAAAAAAATATACACATATACATGTACATGTATTCCAGCAGAAGGAGACGCAAACACTGCATAAATATAATATGATTGCAAACAAAAACATTTGAGCCATTTGAGCTTGTCATTTGTACCAAGTTTTCCACTTCTTTTTTTTTGTTTATTTCGCCCGCTCGCGGCATTTGGATTCGGTTTTGGATAGAAAATTGGGTGTTCCTTGCGGGAGTACGAGAGTGTATCGACAATGCCAGACTCCCCGACAGCTGCCTGTTTCGGATAGCGTAAAAATGTTGATTTTTTGTTAGGGTTAGCCAACTGCGAGCTTATCAATAAAAAAATATCTGCATATGCGAATGGAATTTTCTATTCAATTTATGCGCTCAGATTAAAGTTCGGGCAGCGAATAGCTGATATTATGAGAAACCTGAAGAGGCTTAAAGAATTTAGATCCTCAATTGAAATAATGTTTATAATATGTTAAATTGTATATCAATTAGAACCAGCAACTTCTCGCTTGTTAGCCCTGTCTCCAGTTGGCGCGAAAATGTAGGTTGTTATTGTTTTTTTTAGGGTAAGCCAATTGAAAGCTACTCAGTAAAAAATAAGTGTATTTATTAAAATGTTTTATCAGTATTAGAACCAGCAACTTTTCGCTTGTTAGTCCAGACTCTAGTCAGCTGCCTGTTTCGGATAGCGTCAAGTTGTTGGTAGCAAGCAATATGTCTGAATATACGAGTGAATTATAAAAATTATATATGTGTAATAGAACCGGCTACTTCTCGCTTGTTGGTGCGACGCTCGAGACAATTTTGTGGCAAATTCAAAGGCATCTCATCAACTCGAGTTGATGACAGGACACCAACTCCCAACAGCAACTGCCGTGAGTCAACGAACCGACACTTAGCCAGACAAATCCATCAAGGCAGCGGATCAACTGAGACAGTCGGGCGGAACACAAGTGTGGGCGGGCAATAGGCAATGGGCATGCAAATGTCTGCAGTTAGCCGGCAGCGAGAAAAACGTGAAAAGTGTTCAGCTAGAAAGATGGGAAGATCGGGGTCAGCAACAACAATGGGGCAGGGGCCACTAGAAAAAGTGAGCGCTTGACATTAAACAGGGACAACATTTTCGCTTTGCATGCAAAATGCCGGCACAAAGGCGCACAGGATGGCGCGAAATCGCATAAACCAACTGACAGCCCCATCACCTGGCCATCATCTGATCCGGCTCCGCCTGCTGCTCCACCACCGCTAACGAACCGCCAAAGCATCAGCGAGCGAGCCAGACAGCAGCAAAAGCAACGACAGCGGCGACGGCGACAATGGCGGAAATAGAGCAAAGTTTCACCAAACGACCATTCGCACAATACAAAAAAAAAATATGAAGAAAAAAACAAGTAAGAGTGTTCTAGTTGGGCGTGCTCGACTGGGAGTTATCCTGCAGAGAGTTAAAAAAGTTCACTTTATACTCCAGCTGTGATTTATGCTCCATTTATGCCACACTATGGGAAACGAAACCTTGAATAGCTCGGGATTTTCTTGTGCGATTTATATGAAACTTTCGGGACTTAAATTTGGCATCCTCTAGTATGCACATCCGAAAGCACAAGACTATTACTCGAGAAGTTCTCCAATATTTGATATATGATATATTCCTTAACTCTTCACAAATTTAACGTGAACCTTTATCCCATATTTGCGATCTGCAGCTCTTATAATCACATTATACTGCATCTGTGCTTTTTCTTCCATTAGTCGCATACTTTAAATTTTTTCAAACTTAAATAACTCGAGTTTTTCTTGTGCGATTTCAATGAAACTTTCGGGACTTAAGTTTGACATACTCTAGTGTGCACATCCGAAAGTACACGGCTATAACTCGAAATATTCTCCAATATGTGATATATGATATATTCCTTAACTCTTCACATACTCAACGTGAACCTGTATGCAATACTTGCTATCTCTAGCTAAAAAACCTTGTATTAATATCGATATTTACCGATATTCGATATTTATCGAAGGGAAAAAGCTGCGCGTCTCTCGCCTGTTGCATACATTTGCAAGATACTGTTATACCCCATTGTTGCCCATTTGCAGGGCATACAAAATAGAGAGAGAAAAACCTGGCACACACACAAGCTACTTGAGCTGACCGGCAGGCACTCTCAAACAGCCAGAGATTTGAGTGCCCCCCCTCTCCTAGGGATCCCTAGCTCTTTATTCCGCGCTCAGCTCGGGCGTGCGGTTGACGGTATAAGGCGGACAGTTGACCACCACAGCTGGACAGGAGGCGGCAGCTACTCTATGCGCCGTCTT